CACAATTGTACATTTTAATAAACAAACAGAATTAGCATACCTCAACAATAAATTATTATCTATGCCATCCATATAACTTTTGTAATAATTATAACTCAATCTTTTTAATCAACGAATTGATTTCCAAAGATCTAGATTACTAGAGAATCAACCATCGAATTTTGTATAGTTCTGGTCAATATTCATCTCATTTGTTGTTCTGCATTGATAACATTTGGCTTCATATGAACTAAACTAGTTTCTTTAAAATAATTATGCAGATTTGTACTGAAAATATATCTCACTAAAGAATTTCACAAGAAAATGTTAAAATTAGTGGTCTTATTGTTAAATCAGGAGACTTAACCAGTTTTGTGCGTTTTCTCATTCTATGACAAATTGTTTTACTTCTTTCCGCTTACATTGTGTATTCAAGTCTATCCCATGAGTTCAGAGTTTTTTCAATAATTGATCATACGAACTATTTGTCCTTAGAAATAAAAACAGTCATTACCAATGGAACTGCAGATCAAGCGTTTATACTGTTTACGGATGTTTTAGTGTACCATCTTTTATTCAAATCAAATTTAGGAAACATTAAAAAGAACAGTTAAAATTATACATCCCTCACCTGTAGACCAGCACAGCTAACGTTTGATTTGGACCGGATGGACGAAACACTAACAGTTACAGCTTGCATAACATTTTTTAGATAGGTATTGGCTCAACAAACTTTGAGAAGTAAATTTCAATCACAGATAGAGGATCTATTCAAGTTAATTCTTTTGAAAAAAGAGAGGGTTATTCTGATTATGGTAAAGTTCAGTAATTCTTGTTTACAATTATGAAGATTTATTCTTCTATAATTTTCTTCACGATAGAGTTCATTGTTTTTATATTTTGATACCTTTGTTTTTCCTTTCTTCAGATTCACACAACAAAAGACTTCAAAACATCGAAACTCTACGGCGTATTACCAAATTTTTTTCACTGGCCATAATACCAAACTATTGCGAACAATTTCCACACGAAGATAACATACTTATTTTCATCTGCTATTAGAACATTTTTTTCTACATAAATCTGTCTATTTTCATCTTCATCAGAAATAAAAATAATGAATACAAGAATGATATCCATGCATCTTAGAGATATTAATGCACTTAATAATACAAACACAACCGATAGTGTCGTAGCTAATCATCGTTATATAAAACTTGCATTTTTATTACCTTGTCAAATATTATCAATCATGTGTTCTTTATTTATATTCATTAATATCATATGTCGATCATTAAAATCAATAAAATCAATTGGAAATCATTTTATTCTTCCATTGCTAATAACAAGTTTTATTCAAGTAACAACTGAATTATCAATGGTAGAAAATTATTTACATACAGGTATTGTACGACCATCAACCAATAGTTATTGTTTATTTTTTAATTGGTATGAATTTTCATTAAATGGCATTAGTTTATTTGTTAGTAAGTAATTTTTGTTTTTTTAAGATACACTGATTACTCATAAATTTTAGTGCTATGGGCATCTATTGAACGTCATATTATTATTTTTTCTCTATCTATCTTTCAAATTAGATGGAAACGTATTGCTTTTCATTATGTACCACTTTGTATAGCAATATTGTATCCACCTGGATGTTATGCTTATTTGATTTTTATATATAATTGTGTTAATAATTGGAATTATTCTGAATTATTATGTACGACACCATGTTTTTATCAAAACAAAATGCTAGGTATTGGAGATTGGTTAGTAAATATAATCATACCAGCTTTTTCAATTGCTCTAGCAAATCTTTTACTTATTATTCGAGTAATATACCGTTCAACTGGAATAAGACATAATATTCGACGAACAAAAAAGAAGAATCGGAAAATGACCATACAATTACTTGCAATTTCATCACTTTTTCTTATATTTTGGTTACCAATTGCAGTTACAGGTTTAATTCAACAATTTTTCTATCCAACATTTCTTATCGATATTCAATTTAATATCTTTTTCTATTTAATTTATTTTATTCAACTTTTTTTGCCTATTGTTTGTTTAATTTTTTTACCGGAAGTGATAAAAACTGTAGTCGATAAAATTAGTCAATGGAAACAAAGAAATGCAATATGTGATGCAACAGCTATACACAACGCTCCTGCTGTTCCAACATAATGCAATTGATTGTATAAAGTCTTTATTTCTATGAAATAAATAATGTGAAATAGTAACTTAGTAGTTTGAGCCAAGAAATTCAATAATGAAAAATTTAATTTTATATTAATTTCTAATTTAATTATTATGGTTACGCTTTTATTATATACTAATTGTCATCATATGGTGTTGTCATTTTTTTTTGTTTGTATTGATATTTTCATATTTATTTGTGTTAATATTTACTTTCATGTTGTTTTTCTCTTTGATTCTCTTTATTACTAGCCTACATGTATTTCTTACTATTGAATATTAACCGTATGATGTAGTAAATAAGTGAAAGAGACTCAGATATCGTCATGGTTGAAGAAAACAAAGACTTGAATTGTATCTTCGTTTGTAAATCTTAAAAATCTCCGTGTACACACTTTGAATAATTCATTGCAAATGTGGCATGATAGAATGAAGACAAAATATTGCTTATGATAAAAGTAGAAATTCTACTAGTGCAATTCATAGTATTATTGTAAACTTTTTTATGCTTCATTTCTAAGAAACAGCTCGCAAAGAGAAAAGAAGGCTGTGGGTTTGAGTGTAGATATGAATGCGATCTATAATTCATCCACACTGACAGCTACACTAAGACATCCACATCTACACCCTAGTTTGGTGATGTCGAAAAAATTCGAATCGAACTGGAATCGACTTTTGAAAAACTTCTTCTCAGCAGAATCGGAATCAGAACGATTGAATCATCAGATAGATATAAAATTCTTAAATTTATGTTAGAAAAAACCTTCATTGTTTCATTCTGAAGATTAAAAGTTTCCGTATAAATGTATAATATTGTTTTGTTTAACTATTGAAATATGTTGTGTCTTTAATCTGAACAGCTCCATAGTGAGAATTTCTCAGATTAGATTTAAAATTTGTGTATATATCTAATGGTGTTTTTTGAACCACCGCATTCTATCACCTACCCCCAACCACGTTCACATTCGCACATCGACACATCCCAACAAGCACAACCGCAAATCCACATCCAACAGACATACATGACGAGACCACGAGATCTGGATCGGCACGAAATCAGCTTGGGTCGGATAGATGAAGACATGAATCGACTCTATTCAATGTAAAAGTTTTTTGCTACTATTGAATTTTTGTTTTCTTCTAACAGACAGCACGTCGTTACAAGGTCAGTCTACAGTTTATCTTTTAAATAAGCAACTAGCTGGCAAGACTATGTTTTCTCAATATATTAAATTGTTATCGTTATATTTCACGCTTCCCGTGACATCCGTTTATCGCTAAACAAGTCTCATATGTATAAAAACACATAAAATGTACTGGATTTTAACTCAGTCTATTTTTTATTATTTTTCTAAGCAACATTTCTCTCTTACTTTGTTGGTTCTTGGTTTTGTTCGAAATAATAAAGGATTAGATGGTTATTACATTTATACAGAATTAATATCCATCCCATACCCATATAGCGGTTACCAATATAAACAAATAAAGAAAATCCACTTTTCAACTCGCTTTCCGATTCGATTTGACTGAAAAGTTGAGTCCATCCTAGACTGAAACTGTTCTGTCGTACTTGCCAACAGATAAAATTATAAAAGTTACGCAAAAAAGAATACACTGAATCGAGATTCATTTCATTTGACATAGTGCATGTAATCTATTAACAAAAATCTTTTAGAAGACTGGTTTTTATCTAGTATCGTCATATATATGACAATAAGCCAAGCAATGTCCATTATAATGTTCTTGAATTTTAGTCGATATCACATTTTAATTTCTCAATAAGTATGATCTATAATGATTTACTATCAGTTTCAACACACAGTGCTTCATTGTAAAGTTCATTTTTTCATGCTCTAAAATCGATGATCTACTATTAGAATGTATTTCTGCATAATATTACTTGACTAATACAAGCATTGCATGAACGAATTTAGAGCAGAAAACAATTGATACTTTGTATGTGATAGTATTTGAATGATTATTATTCATTTAAAAGTAATTTGTCAACAGATTTTTGTTTGATATATGAGAAATATATTTTCTAAAAAATCAACTTATTCACACCTGTTGAAAGTACTTTGTATAAAATGCTAAATCCAAATTGTGTATTAAAATTTATCTAATGAGCTCAAGTTGTTCTCACGAATGGATCAAATGGAGTGTTTGCCGTTGGAAATAAAAATAGTTATTACTGATGAAACTGGAGGTCAAACATCGACACCTGCTATATGTATTTCAAATTGTTATGTATTTAAATTTAATTCAGGAAACATTAAAAAACCAGTTGAACTTATACTTTCACTACATTGAGATCAGCACAGTTAACGTTGGATCCGAATCCGGTGGATGAATATTTAACCGTTACTGCTCAGATGGCATATTTTAGATAGATGTTTGCTCAAAAGACTTTGAGAAGTAAATTTCAATAATAGATAGAGGATCTAATCAGCTAAACGTCATGTCAATATAATTCTTTTGCAAAAAAACAAAAGATACGACGGTTATAATGATTATGGTGAAGCTCACTAATGCTTACAATTAGGAGGGCTTATTCTTCGACAGTTTTCTTCACAGTAGAGTTCACTTTTTTAGAATTACGATGGTTTTGCTTTTTATTCTATTTAGACTTGAAAAAAAATCCAAAACATCGAAATTCTACGGCTCATTACTAATTACAGTTGATTAATGATAATATCAAAGTGCAGTTCACTATCTCGACCAGAAGATAATATTCTTATTCCCATCTGTGATTATAAAAATTTGTTCTAGATAGAATTCGTCGGTTTTCATCTTCGTCATAAATAACAGCTATGAACACAAGAATGATATTCAGGCGTATTAGTGACATTGACACACTTAATAATACCGATACAACTGATAATATCGTAGTCAATCATCACCAAATAAAATTGGCGATTTTATCACCTTGTCAAGTGTTATCAGTCATATGTTCTCTATTGGTATTGATTAATACCATATGTCGACCATCGAAATTAATAAAACCCATTGAAAATCATTTTACTCTTCCACTATTAACAACAAGTTCTGTTCAAGTAACAACTGAATTATCAATGGTAGAAAATTATTTACATACAGGTATTGTACGACCATCAACCAATGGTTATTGTTTATTTTTTAATTGGTATGAATTTTCATTAAATGGCATTAGTTTATTTGTTAGTAAGTAATTTTTGTTTTTTTAAGATACACTGATTACTCATAAATTTTAGTGCTATGGGCATCTATTGAACGTCATATTATTATTTTTTCTCTATCTATCTTTCAAATTAGATGGAAACGTATTGCTTTTCATTATGTACCACTTTGTATAGCAATATTGTATCCACCTGGATGTTATGCTTATTTGATTTTTATATATAATTGTGTTAATAATTGGAATTATTCTGAATTATTATGTACGACACCATGTTTTTATCAAAACAAAATGCTAGGTATTGGAGATTGGTTAGTAAATATAATCATACCAGCTTTTTCAATTGCTCTAGCAAATCTTTTACTTATTATTCGAGTAATATACCGTTCAACTGGAATAAGACATAATATTCGACGAACAAAAAAGAAGAATCGGAAAATGACCATACAATTACTTGCAATTTCATCACTTTTTCTTATATTTTGGTTACCAATTGCAGTTACAGGTTTAATTCAACAATTTTTCTATCCAACATTTCTTATTGATATTCAATTTAATATCTTTTTCTATTTAATTTATTTCATTCAACTGTTTTTGCCTATTGTTTGTTTTGTTTCTTTGCCAGGATTGAAAAAAGCTACAGTTAGTAAAATTAGACAATGGAAACAATGGAATATAGTAGGTGATATAACAGTTATGCAAATTGCTTCTATGATTCCAACATGGCGCAACTAACTGTATAGACAAAATTTATTTGTATGACATAGTGTTAAATAATATCTTGACAATTTGAAGGGACAGATTTTATTAGAAAATTAATTTTATATTACTTACTAATATAATTATTAATATTTCTCTTTTTATTGTGTAATAATTATCATCATGTATTATTCTCATTAACTATTTTTTTTTCGTTGCATTTATATTTTCAAACTCCTTTGTTTTGATACTCTCTTGCATGTTGTTTTAAAATATTATTACTCTTTATCATTAACTTACATGTATTCGTCACTACTAAACACAAAGCTTATAATGCATTAATAAATAAAAGCAACTAGGATGTCCTCATAGCTGAAAGAAACTAAAACTTGGATAATATTTTTGCAGTTTATTATAGTGACTATTTATTGTTATTGCGTTTGTATATAAAGACTCGAAATTAGATTACGAGATTTATTTGAAAAAAACAAACAGTCGAGAATAGTCAAGTTGATATTTGGAAATCTTAAAAATCTCCATGCGCAAACTTTGAATTATCCATGACAAGTATGACATAATCTGATCAAGAATAAATATTTCTTTTCATAAAATTAAAACTCCTACTTGTGGAAGACATAATAGGATTTAAACTTCTGTTATGTTTCATTTGATGACTATGATGTATCTTGTAGACTTGTCCGATAATTTTTGACGTTTGATTTCGATTCACTTTTCTTTATTGATTTAGTAGTTGGTACTATCATTTGTGGTCGAGTTTTACTCAACGATGATGCCAATCAAGCCGAGAGTGTCCCTGTCGGTTCTCAACTTATTATTTGATTAGAAGATACATCAATAGCTATTACTTTAACAATTCTATTAAAAAGAAACAGAAATTTCAAATATGAGTTGTTTTTAGAGTTCAAACTCTAATTCATATTCCATCAATATAGTCAACATGTATGAAAAAGAACATATTTTTCTGTAATAATGATCAAAATATGTGTCTATCATACTTGATACTGATAGTCTGATTGCAATTGATATTCCACTTATGATTGCTGAAGAATATGCTTGTTATGAATTGAATGGATAGTCATATTGCTACTATTAATAATAATGTTCACTGTGGTACTTTATCACTTCATTTAAAAATCGCATATACCTGTCACGCGAGAGAAAAGAAAAGAAAACACTCCTTATCGAGATCAGCACAGCTAAAGAAGAATTCATGTAGAGAAAAAGAAGAAAGGAAGTAAAGTGCAACAGTTATTTATTATCACAAGTAATAATTTTGCTTCGATTGTTGAACAACAGGGAACAATCATCATAACCAGAATTAGCTGAATTTGAAGATACATTTGCGTACAATATATCAAAGAAAAAGTTGATAAAAATATTTTTCATTCACATGAAAAAATGTGTTGTTTTTTGTAGCGCATTTATTTTTTAAATCTTACAGATCTATTTAGTGTTCCCAAAAGTTTCATTGTAACCATGGACTATGAAATCGATTGGGTACAAATATTTGCCAACAAAAATGATTTAGTCACTAAAAAATTCTTCGTTATGGTTAAATTATCTATCAATTATTTTGTTGTGTTTTAGTTAATAAAAGTTCACTAAGAAATAAATTACTAAAAATTTAAAACAAAAGATAATCTATTATATTCAGATATAGTAATAAACTCACTTTAGCACTTGAGGTACTAAAGCCTGAATGGTTGATCAATGACGTAAATATCTACATTTTCGTACTACAAATGAATTTGAAACCAAAGAAAACAGCTTTTGCCTTGTTTTCATCAATGATTCCTTTAACAGTTACAGAAAAAAAAATTACCATTCAAATAGTGTGAAAGAAGGAAAAAGTATTGTTATTGTTTGTCATTAAGAGAAACAAATACTGATATGTCTCATATGTAGTTTTTAAAAGTATTGTTCGTTTCTTTCACGTTTTTACGTTGCTTCATACATCGATATTTACTATAGCTATTGTCATTAGTGCATGCCATCTCAGGTTATTCTTGCTGCTATTTAATAGAGGACAGTTTGGGTCTTTCTCTTGCTGATCATTCTCATTGTATATATTAATTAAAAATTTTTAAGAAAATAAATACATCATGTTTTGAAATCGACTTTAAATTTTATAGAACAAATATATATTATAAAAAGAAACAATACTCTGTATTGAATAAATATCGTCATAGATATAAAATAAAATAAATCATCAGATTAGACGTAAATAGCATCATAAATTTCTAGTATCTGTATGAAAGAATCATATCTTATGAAAAAGTCAAGTAGTATTTTAGATTTATCGAGTATATGAATGTTTTATGAGAATCATTATTAAGTAGGCATATTTTAATATTTTTCTCACGTGTAGTTTTGAAGAAATGATAATATTTCAAAGTGTCACTAAGTATAGTAAAAATCTATACTTTTGCTACGAAAATTTTCGTACTATCAAACTGTTGTTATTTTTTCATCTAATGATTTTAAAACAGAGATGCAAAACCAATTTTAATTACTTAAAGATAAATGTATAGACTTGTTTTTCACCATTCAAAGAGGTATTTCTCAGCTTCGTGAGATAAACTATTAAAAGTTAATAAACATTGCAATAGCGAATAACAGTATTAATCTATAAACTTTCGCATTGCTAAGGAAATAAACTGCGGAATGCATATATGTACAATTGATTATCTATTGTTTTACAAGAAATTAATTAAATCTGCATATATGTCCGTAAATAATTACGTATAATTTGATGAGCATTAATTATCGATACAACATAACAAAGAAGCAGTGATTAATTTTCAGCGCTATTCATTCACCTATCCACAATGGAAAATATAAGATCAATATGAAACTTTCAGCTGATTAATCTTGTATTTCTTCTTTGAAAATTTGTCACTTGTGTTATATTATCTAGTAAGGCATATTTACAGAAAATATAGATACAATCTGAATCAAGCCCTAAAGTTCAAAAAGCAAGAGCAGTACTCAAACATTTCTGAACTATTTTAATGTGATAAATTGTATTATAACTGATTGATTGCAGAATAAAGATACTTTAAAAAACAGAAATAAAGTACATCGATCTGTGATTCTAGGTAAATTGATATAGGCATTTGTATTCATGAGGATTGTTTTATAATAGAGAACAAAGATGAATCTATAAAAGGCAAACTACGTAATATAGTGGCAAACAAAAATAATATTTTACGTCGAATAGGAACCAACAATTTTAACCTGTGAAGTTTTACTTGAAAAGTCTGTGTATCAAAGTCTTTTATTGTCTGAAAAACACCAATTAAAATCCCGAGAATTCTTTCTATAACATTTTTCAATGAAGACGTACTGTTCAGTCAAATGTTGAATATTTCTTTATTGACGGAATACCTATCATAGTTTATCAGTTTCTTTTCAAATAAAAACAACATAGTCCGATCTAAGCATTCAAGAAAGTATTGCATTAAAATAGCTTTCTTGAAATCTGTTGGTTTACTATAATCAAGTGATGAAAAATATCTGTATTTGTTTCTGTCATCAGAGAAAAGGTATATCATCATTGGTGACTTTGTTTTACAATACTTCTTTCCCCTACCCTAGGATTTTAATACATTGAGATTTACAATTGATACTGAATTTAACTTTCATCTTTCTTCTTCCTAAAGAAACGACATTATTTCTGTAAAAAAAAACATATTGTCATACAATAATTTAAATTAAAAGAATATAAAAATTCAATTATCACGCTAGAAAAAACCAACAAATTACAGTTATTATTTAAAAAATCAGAGTGAATGTACATAAAAAGATCAGTGAGCTTTTTAGTATCATAACTATCACTTTATGTCTTTTTTTCAAAGTATTTTCTTCATAAAACACCCAATTGGTTACATTCTCTATCAATTGATTCAATGAATTTTTCGAAATCTTGTAAGTATTTTCGATTATACTTTTATTCTGTTTGAATCAAATCTAAATTGCACTGATGTCAATCAGATAAGTGCATACTCTTCACAATCTTGCTGATACTTTGTAAGATCCAATTTTTCAGCGATTGCCACATTGTTTCTATAGAATCTTTTACTAATCGACACCTTAAAATCGTCTCTGTAACTTCATTCTATTTTTCTCTTGTATCCTTGAAACAATGACTGTTTTTTTAGTAATCACTCTAAGAAAGCTGCTAAAAAGAATGTGTATATATTTGTCTCACAATAAATAATTCTATAATCATGAGAGAGTCTATACGAAGAATGTAGAGTCTCAATGAAATTCTCTAGGTATACTGAAAGTCAAGTTTTATTAGATGCAAAGGGAATTTTAAGATATTTTCAACAACAATAAATATTCAGAATAATAACATTAATAATCTTAAAGAATTTCAAACATCGATTTTAAATGTTTATTTATGCCCTTTTTTCTTGTTATTTTTGATTGAAATAGCAAATTTTAGCTTAAATCAAAATGTTTCAAGTCACTTTTGTATAACATTATGACTGATACGATAATTCCCAATTAACAAAAGAACTGAAATACTATTTTAGTTTCGTCTTTAACACTAAATTCAAGATGAAAAAGTTGTTTATGATTGCCGATAATTTTCAATAATGTTAATTGTAACAACGTAGTTAAATATCACCGAATAAATTTCACTTCCTTTGATGGATGGCATATGAGCCAACCAATGTTATGTAAAAGCAAAAAACAACATATAATGTTAAGCTCCCTATATATGATGAAAACTTTACATTTGTAAATAGCAAGACAACTGTGTTCTTCGACCAAAATATATGACTAATAGAACACATCGCTTTTTCATAAAGCTTTTTGATCGAATAAACAACAAGTGATATGCTATTTTTATATAAAATCTACAGAAACATACTCGATCATGAAGATCATATAAACATCTGGTAATTCATATCAAACACGGCTACATAATTTATTTAGTTATTTATACACATATTATAATGCATATGCTCATATTTTATATTCTTTGTAGTCAATCATCTAGTTAA